ATGATGAGAACGAACGGGAGGAGAACGAGAAGGACCAGCGGTTCACGGAGCCCCCGCCAATCGTATGTGACACTGTGGCACTGCGCCACTCCCAGGAGCCTGATGATCCGGATGTGCCAGCGGCAGCGGTGGCAGAGACCGAGGAAGAGAAGGCAAAAGTTGATTTGTTGTCCCAGTCCAATCATACTCCTTCGCGACACCATGACACTCCCAGGACCATCGACATGATCATGATCGAGATCGGGCAGCGCCGGCGGTCGCTGTGGTCGGTCCTGATGCTAGTGATGCTGTCACATCACTGGATGATGCGTTTCGTCTCTTGGCACGTTGTATGACTGTCATGGTACCTAATACAATGATTCGATGACCCGATGACCATGAAACTTACGCTGTCCATTACACGACACAGGATGGCCAACATTCCTGCTTCATCAGTATTCCAGGAACGACCAGATCATCGACTGGTCGTTACACCACGTAGCAGCATGTCACACGGCATATGATTCGGCTGCAGCTGCACTTGGAACGGACGTCGACACACTGCGATGCCTGCGGTGCCTCGCCGAACGAATCGGCGTCACTACAATATCCACGGCATACTCGGGGATTGATGCACCCAGCACTGGCATCCTCCAGATCATCGCCGGCCTAGAGACGGAATACGGAATTGCAGCCAAACATCCGGAGCACCTCCATGCCATCGAGAACAACCCGCACTGTCAGACAGAACTAGCGCTGCACCCGTCATCACCACAATGCCTCTTCGGCGATCTCGAGGACTTCCTACTCCCAACATTGAAACATGTATTGCCGATGATGCTTGAGGCAGGCACCGTAGCAACTGAGCTGCAGCACATCATGATTGAAGATCCTGCCGGTTCTGTTTCGTTGCATCAAGGCCGCACTTTGTGACATCATGATGCCAAGAGTGCATATCAGAGTAGAGGAGGAGTATTGACAGTTGTCATACGGTGGATTGCTTCAGGTCGGCACACTGCTCGGTCCACAATCGTTGCTGTTCAATCCGCGATCGGGTGGCACTTTGCCATATCGCGGGGACGTCCTGCACGGATTATTCACAGATAGGTCTGAAGTCCAGAGAACAGGGCAAAACATTTGGACACTTCTTGATATGGTGTTGCCACAGGAAGTTGCTACAGGAGCCAATCTTGATTCAGGAAAACGTTATTGATTTTCCAAATGCTTTGTTCAAAGAACTATTGCCGGAATGGGAATGGTGTTTCGGAATAGTGGAACCGGTCAGCTTGGGCTGGCCCATCAACCGCCCTCGACAGTGGGCTGTGTACGGATCTTAGTTTCCCATCTGTGTGATTCTTCATTATGTTTGTTGCTTGCATTGCATTGGTGAACAATTATATTGTCAGTCAGACAACTGAGGGGACGACATCGCGTCAAGACGCTGGGGTTCAGATCGCTCCTCAATATATTCACTCCGTTGTTCCACCGACGGATGGAGACATCATGGGATATTTTTTTCTGGGAGTGTCTCGACAGCATATCATATATCAGCTTGTCTAGCTAGCTACCGAATCAGTTTTGCAGTGAGGGGTTCGGACGTAACATTGCTGACACGGTTGATATGCGCGGTGCGCAAGGAAAGATGCACACCAGCTGCAAGCCGAGCTCGATTGGGCTTGCCAGAGGCCAAGCACACGATGGACCGAGAGCACCCCGTGCACAGCTTCTGCAGCCACTGCTTTCGAAGATGCGTTGACAGATGGAGAATATACGTTCCTGCGTGGATACGAAGAGAGAATCCCCGACGGGATTTATTGTCTCAACCAACGTCCCGACTTGATGTGTGTCGGTACCAACCAACCGGCCGCGAGTCTTCGCACCACAGCAGTTGTTCTCGCGTGGTGTGTTGTTTGTGTCTTTGGTGATTTGGTGATCAAAGTCAAAGCAAACCCTCAACTCCCGCTGGACCCAGGTGATGCGAACATTGATTTCGTCTGCGTCCATGTGGTATTCACAACGTCATCAGCGATGGTTGGCAGCCAGGGAGTTGCCGACGCTGCAGGGGTTTCCCGTGCTGTCGACATTCTCATACAACAAAGTATGTTGCAGTTTCGTTACCAGGAACAGACGTGTTGCTGGTCACGACGATCATGGGACTCCTGCAACGCAGGATTGGCCAAGCAGATCGCAAATTTGCAGAATGGCTGGTAACACTATGCACTGCAATGTGGTCGGCGTGGTGATGTTGTTCGCATGGACGCAGGTTTCCATGGATGCGGATGTTTTGTCAGCTGTGCGAGAACTGCGTAGCAGTCCCACAAAAGCACGTGTAATTCGAGCCGTTAAGAAGTAGAGTAGAGTCTACATTGCACATGGTAGCAACAGTTTCACACAGTTCTTGTGTGGTCGCATTGTCTCTGAGCTTGAATGCAACATTCGAGCGGGAGTCTTGCCGCTAGCCACGCCTGCTTCGTTGAAAATCACACGCTGCGGACGTGCATCATTTGCCTTCACACAGTGGTTTGCCTGTGAGTCTCAACGCTCGTGAGGTGCATGATGGCGACTGCAGCAGCTTCTCCAGCTATTTCAACCGCTTTTGTATCTAGTCTCACCCACACCGACGCCATGCAGGGATCGGATCACGCACCGCCGACATCCATCACCGTGAACCATGCCAACCTCTACAAGCGGGGGGCAAGCCTAGTGGATATATTTGGGCCAAACGTGTCGCCAGGAAGGGAACTCCTCGATGAGATTCAGCGCATCTATAAGGCTGTTGGGGTGGTGGTGGGGAGTCGTGGGTGGGGTGGGTTGGGTGGTGGGGTGAGTAGTAGGGGTGAGGCGGGGTGGGGTGGGGTGGGATGGGTGTGGCATTGAACACCAGGTGCCTGCCGTGAAGAACCTCGCATGGTTTATTGGAGACGGCGAACAGAAGGCGATCATGCGTCACCCCCTGAACTCGAGACGTCAGGATCAAGTCTTGCAGGTTTACAAGAAATCGGTGCAGCAGCGCGGCATCATCAAGGGGGTCAGAGGTGAGTGTTGGGTCAGGGCGCCCAACCCGGAGAACAATGAAACGGTCTACCTAGCACTGACGTTTGGCACATTGTGTCCTGCCTGCACGCATCAGCGTTCTAGAGTCTGCCGGTTGATGGATTGTTGCAGTCTCTTGTCATTTTCAGTGGTTCAATGCCTTCTTGTACTTCTACTCTACTCATGTGCATCAGGACGGAGGCATTTTACGCTGCGTGGGCTGATGCAGACCGCGAATCATATGCAAATCTCAAGCTGACACATCGTGCCGGCCTGGATGTGATTGTGTTTGATCACAGGACTCCTGATGCAGTATTGGAATTCCTGCGACTAGGCTGGTTACTTTAAGTGTGTGTATGTGTGTGTATGTGTGTGTTCTTGCAAAATAAAACTTCGTATACAAATGGTGTCGGTGTCGTCTCACTGACCAGATAGTCTGTCTCACACATCTGATGTTTCTGACGACAGTCTCACAACTTTTGCAGACATGACTCTGGCAGTGGAAAAAAACTATCTAAACATCTTGCATTGCACCATTGAGCAATGCACTGTCTCACACATAGGGCCATACGGCTGTCTCTCGCAATGCTGCAAGCCGAAACCGCACAACTAGCCAAATCCGAATCCGAATCACTAAGGGAGTAATAATCACTGACAACCGCCCACCCTCCACTACACACTGTAAACCTGCCGTGCCAAGGGTGACCTATCACAATCAATTCCATAAAGGATCAACTACATCATTCATCGAAATGCTATCAAAAACACCCGACGCCGCTTCGGTTGCAAGTTGGGGAGCATGGGGGCTAGCGTGTGAGCTGCTACAGTTGTGATGTTGTTCGTAACTTCAACTTCAGTTATCAGTTATCAATCGATACTGTACTTTAGATACTGAGGTCGAGAAGGCATGGGCGAACCATCGACTTGCGTTGGGAATCACCGCACGAACTCCAGAGTACGAAGTCCGATACAGGGAGTTCGTCCAGAGCAACTACCCGGACGTATGGACAAGTTTCAAGCACTTCGAAGCTACCAGAAACCTCTACAACACCTTGGTCAGGTATCAGGTCCTGCCGGATGTGAAGGAGATGTCAGAAAAACATTGCCAGTATCTACATGCAGAATTGGCACACGACTCCGTCATCTACTGCATGAAAGAGCTTATCACGGCATGCACAAGCTTCTTCGATGCTATGTCATTTCACGAGCGCAAAGCCATCATCATGGCCCTGACTTCGTGCTGTGCACCTTGAACTCTCATTAGAACGTTATGAAAAGTAGGTAGGTTACTTGTTCCGGCTTGCCGGATCACATCCTCGATATTTCATGTTTCAAAGTTTCACGAACTTGCAAAACTTACATGTGCTTCACGGTTTCACTGCACCGTTTCACAACTGCTGCTGGTCCTGTCGTTTCACAATGCTTGCTACTTCTGTACAGTCTGTACAGCAGCAGCAGCAGGATAGCTGGTCAGCTGTTCTCGTTGTGGACTCGATGATTCAATTACATGATGATGATTCGTTGATTCGTTGATGTTGTTGTTGCTCTTGCTTATTGTAACTTGTTGATGTAATTCTTGCACACATCTTGCCGTCTTGCCAAAACTAACCAAGATGCCACTGGAGCAGCCGGGAATGAAGTGGCTCTTCAAGAAGAGCAACACATGCGCTGCCGAGATGGCTTTGCTCATGACTCCATTGTCAGGGAAAGTGTTTCAGCTGCAGGAGAAGATCAGTGCCCAAAAGCAGGCCAAGAAGAACACCAAGGATGCAGTTACCGTGTTGACGGAAGGAGTGGAAGATGCAAAACCACAGCCAAAGAAAGCGTCCGCCAAAGCCAAATCTAAGGGTAAAGCAAAGGCCAAAGCAGGTGCCAAGACCGATGTCATCGAAGACAGCAGCAAGCTTGACAGCGCAATCATCATCAATTCCGTTCAGGGCGGCCAGCTCGTGCGAGACAAATACTTTGTGGATTGTCTTGTCTTGGCTGTCAGGTCGGCTTTGCACGCATGCAGGCGCAAATGGGGGCTCATCATCGACGCTGACGGCGATACCACGGACGCTGCAGGAACGGGTCCTATGTCATACGTCCCGGCCGAGTATGGTATCCTTGAGGATTGTGTCCGACGAGGCATATTCTTCGCATGTGAGCGAGAGCTTGTGTTGGACGGGAAGCGACACACGAAATGGTCCACATTGAGGCCTCAATTGCAAGTCTATGCAATGAACGAGTACCGGAAGGCAGGGTAACTGTAGTGAGTTGGTGTGACGGTGATGGTATGTCGACGGTATGTGACTGTCGGTGGTTTCGTGCATATCAGTGCATATCAGTCTTGACAGTCTCACAGGTTGCGGCGACCAACCGCTATGGCATGATCTATGCTGGCGGCAAAGAGCAAGGCATGGCAAGTTCAAGTGCATCCACTCACAATGACGCCACCGGATCAAACACGGCGTCGGTTGAACCTCAACCCAATTCGACAACAGTGGACCCCTTCATCAACGGCTTGCTGTCATGGTTGGATCTGGAGATGGGTGCCACACGCACAGACAACCCTTTGCACCAACCTGCTGAGGGCAAAGGCACCTTTGACCACATCATGCAGCACTTGACATACACCAAGATGTTCCACGAATGGACCGACATGTGTTCATGCGGCGAGAACAGGACAGGTGTCGCAATCGTAGGTGTGTGTGTGTGTGTGTGTCGGTGTGTGTGCGTGTGCCTATAGGTGACTCTGTAGTTCACGAGTTCGAGTTCACGGTGGATGTTGATCTTGTTGCTGCTGATGCTGTTGATGCCGGTTATACTGCCTGCACATATTGAGTGGCAGAGTCCATGTGACAGGACGAACCAAGAGAATTGTGTGCTGCATCAGACCACAGCTGATATTCCGGACTTGGCATTTCATGTGTGCTCAGCGGTGGCTACTGCATTGCCGCCCGCAGTGGTCTCCGCCGGTCAAATCCTGAGCAAACATCTCGTGGACCATTGGGATGCATTTCCAAGCGCTTTGAAAGATCACCCCCGGAACGAGTTCCTGCAGAAGATCCTGACACCGACAGGGGTCACGAACCTGGCACGGATGAGGTGCTTCTACATCCTCTCGCTGTTGCATCAAAGTCTTGATGGACGCTGTGGCAACATCACCGGCGATAAGCTCATGACACTCATCCAGACGCACATGACGGTCTTCGCTCAAATGGACCGCACATGTTCGGCGGCGTCCGAGGATCTTGGCCTTCTGGCTAGCGGCTACGGAAGCGGGCTGCTTGAGCTTGTTCGAAAAGGCAAAGTCACCATAGATGAGCTCACTGAGGATGCTCCAGCACCTGCCACTACCCAGGCGTCACATGAACCGTCGAGCGGAAAGGATGGGCCGGCAGCCCCAGCACCAAACTCAGGTGGCGGAGATGCGGGATCTCCCGCGAGTGACGGGCCTCGTATGATCTCTTACAGTGCCTTGAGCCTGCTGTCAACCAACCACGTTGAGAAAGGCCGAGGTGTCGAAGGGACGTCGGCAATGCTTTTTTCGACGGAATCGTTGCGAGAGCTTCGATTGTTGGTGGCGGCTGATCTGATGATGCAGTCCAGGAGCGCAATGGATTTGTTGCAACAGCAGTGTTCAACTTTTGAACTGTTCTTGGACTTAGATTCCTTAGATTAGTCACATGCGTTGCCGTACACAGGAGCTACGAAGACACTCATCATTGCAGCGAGCAAATTATCTTTTGCGTGACGCAAGTTGAAAAAGGTGAGAAGAAGCTGAAGTCCACGGAGGTCTTATTTCGACTCGAGAAGACACGCAAGGTGGAAGAGATCATTGCAAACTACCAGGAGCTGACACAAGGCCAGGACGGCGCACGGGCACACCTCACAGAAGTTGTGACTTCTGAGCAGAGGAATAACTTCAGGTGCTGCTACTGGGGCGATATCGGTAGTGTCGCACCTCTCATGCAGAAGGCGCCGCGGGTCATGACGGTAGCATCGATGAAGGTCGTCGTGAAGGGTGAGGATGGTGCCGCAGATCAGCCAATGACACACAGTCACTCTGCCACATTAGCTGCAAGGCAGAACTGATGCACAGTTGGTTGTTCGTTCACCAATTCAAACCACACACTGAGACTGAGACATCAACTTCATCAGTTCATCAACCACGAACCACCAGAACCATGACCATGACCATAACCACAACCACCTAATCATCACATCAATAATAAGGTGTCGGGCCTGACGTGTCGGATCAGTGTGAGCCGCAATTCTATTTGAAGGGGGAGGCATTCAGCAGTATGGAATCCGACACGCCGTGCGCGGCTTGGTTAATCCCACCAACGGACCTGGCAAGACCGGCACTAATCATCGAGGAGGCGGAGTACACAATGGGTTACAAGGATCGCGTACTGAAATACAGTGCGCCCATCCTGCGGTTCACGCCGAACCGCGATGACGCAGATCTCACACCGGTACTCGTGAAGGTCATTGAAGGTGAGGCCTACATGGTCCTGATGAGGGGGCACTTGCTGGGTGAGCTGTGGGTGCCCAAGCGGGGCGTCAAGAGGGCGTACCCCGGCAGTGCGCACATCGCCGAGGAGAACTGGCCCACCGGCGACGGCGCACTGCGTGATTTGGGATTGATTGGGGGGGTTGGTGGTGCATCGGCTTCCAGCCGCATGCTAAAGGCGTTGGGGTCACCGGCAAAGAAAGCACGTGTGGCGCAGGGTGCAAAGCACCTGACAAAGTAGCATGCGAGACGTGCATCTGCATCAATGGAGGGGGTCGAGTCCGGGGTCGAGGATTGTATATTCCACCCCATTTTCTTCAATCTCTCGCATCTGTCGTATCATTGCGAGACGTGCATCAACGGAGGGGTCGAGGATCGTATATTCCATCCCATTTTCTTCAATCTCGCGCATCAGTCGTATCATTCTGATGTTCTGAGCAAGTCTCTTCGACTCTTCGTTTGTGACAGCACCCAGACGCAGGCCACGTACATTCCAGTTCGGCACTGCTGTTGTACTAAGTTCTAAGTGACATGATCCGTGACATGCATACTTGCCACCGTTATCAACATATCATTGTATCATTATTGTTATGTTTTTTTGGTCTGGCGCTGGGGAGTCTTACGTCTCACGGAACTGCACCGACATGCCGCCTCTCACGGCACACGCACTACGAAAACAAAAGATGAAACAATGTGAAATCATGTGACACGGTGAAACAGTGAAACAGTGAGACGGTGACACTGAGTTATCATTTATCCTCATCACCACCATCGACATCAACATCACGACTGCCATCACAGTTGTTTTCGTCATCGTCCATCAGCAACCATTGTCATCAAGTCATCGAGTCATCGAGTCATTAACATCATCGACCATCGTCATGATGACGATGCGGATGAGAATGCTGAAGCCATTGGCCATCGCCATGTCATCTGGAGTCTTCTTGACAACTGTAACAATTGTTGATGATGAACATGCTGGTGATGATGATGCTTATGATTTTGCTGCGTGATGATATGCTCATGGTGTGTTTGCTGCTGTTGCTGCTGAAATTTTAAGGTCTCACCCGTGGCGACGGTGCCCTTGTTTCACTCCATGGCTATCAAGTCTTGTGCCGCTGTTAGTACTGGAATTTAAAGGTCTCACCCGTGGAAACGGTATCACTGTTTCACTCAATGGCTATCAAATCTTGTGGTGAACACACCATCATCCGACTCACAACCTTACTAGTACAACCCCGAGCATTGACATCATCAACCTCCGAAGTGGCATCGTCGTAGCTTCGACTTGAGGGACCACACCATCACTGGCAAGCCTTTTCCAATGTATCATACAACAAAAAATATAGCACATACTTTTTAGGACCCCCGCTTAGGTTGGTGAGCCGCTTCTGGTAAAGCTTCATACACAAAAAAACATCTCCTCCATATGTTTTTGCACCCACCCTCGCAGGACGTCGAGCTGCTCCCAGGGAGGCTTCGTGGCGACTTTCTGCGGAGCGTCGCATTGATCAGTGCATCCAAAAAATCGCGATATGCTTGGGATCCGTGGTATCCTAAGTATAATGGGGCACCCCTGTCGGTAGCGATTTGGTGACCGACACTTCTAACCCTAAACCAAACCCCAGAGGCCAATGGACATGCCTA